GTACCTTGCCCCCCACCCAGAGTCCCTGCTCCCCCAGCCCTGCCTGAGGGGGCTCCCAGCTGCCAGAGCTATGGCAGCCCTCTGCCCTGCTCCCCCCTGCTGTCTGCTGTGGGCTCAGGCAGGCCGACTCCCCACCACTGCATGCGAGCCCAGAGGGTGCAATCCAGTGCAGAAGGGAGTGGTGGAGCCGCACGGAGAAGCTACTCACCACTGTGAGCTCTGCGTTGCCCTGGCAATGCATCTCCTGTGTGTGGGGCTGCAGTGAAAGCAAAAGCATGGGGTTGAGCCCCTCGAAGAAGTGGCACATACATGGGATGTGTCACTAGGGTAGCAGGGAGCTCGCAGCAGCGAGGGGATCCCTGTGCAGCCCTGCTGTTGCCTGCCACACTGGGTTCTGCCTGCTGGTCTGCAGAGGCCCCAGGGGGAGGGAAGCAGGGCAGAAGCCTGAGCCCACAGCCTGTGCCTGCCCTGTGTACAGCTCTGGGGGGTACAGGTCCCCCCTGCCCCCCGGGAGTGTGTGGTCCCATCCTTCTCCCTGCTGGAACACTGCAGCTGCACATTGGAGCCCCAGGCCCCAAGCCCCAGCATCGCCCAGCTGGAAAGCAGCCCCAGCTCCCTCCCTACAGGGGCCTTAATCCCCATCTCCCCCTCCACTCACCTGCTGGCACTGCCTTCCTCCCAGTCCCTCCCAGCTGGAACTCTGCCAGCCTGCAGGGCGCTCATTGCAAAATCCATGGGTTTCTCTGGTAAAATGAGAAATCCACATTTGCCTCTGGTAAAAGGTAAAATCCATGGTTTACGCCATTTTTCTGTGGGAAACGGAAAATCCGAATCCCTGCTGATAGGTGTGAAAGAGAAAAGATGACAAAACTGAATTTTATCTGTGCATCTACACAATTCACTGATCAGAAATTAGAGAGTCAATTACTCTATTCAACTAGACCCTTTCATAATGTGGCAACTTAAATAAGCTTCTGAGGCCTGGAAGGAGTCATCTAGACTAACCTGGAGAACACACTGATTGCTACTTTATCTTCCACAAGCTGAGTAAGTCCAAAAGAGTAACTTGCATTTGTTTCATTAACCAGTGATTGGAAACAGGTCTAAATCTGTAACAGAACAGAAGCTCAGTGCATGTGGACTGGTTTAAAATGGGAGAACCTGCCCTGAGATAGACCTGGACTGATGAGGTATCAGACTTAATATAGGTTAGACTGGTCTATCAAACTACTCTACCAGATTCTCTACCAACTCAGCTTAGGAACCCCAGGCTGCTTTGTGGCCCTCTTGATAGCTCTGCCTTGCAGGGAGGTGCACTGAAACTGAACTTGGGCTTGGCTGCTCCAGCCAGGTGTCCAGCAGGCCCTGCCTCCAAGCTCTCTAGCTGTTAACCACAGGCAGGATAGAGGCAGGGGTCAGGGGGAGCAGGGCTCATGAGCTGATGGGGAAGGTAATACCAGCACTTAACCTTGCATTCCAAACCTGTGTCAGCCAGGCATAGAGTGTCCCTTCCCTTTCCCAGTTCTGTCCAAGCTCCAGGACAATGCGCTGGAGAAGCTGTGGGAAGGGTTTGGAGGACTCCCTGTGCTCTCCCCGCTCCCCTGCAGAGCTAGCACTGAGTTCTCAGCTGAAGCCCCTTTCCCATGGCTGTCTCCCCCCCGCCCCTGAAGACCATGGATTATGGGGAAGAGGCTTTAGTTGGGAACTTGGCACTGACTCTGGCGCTGGGAAATCTTCTGAGCCATTCCTGGAGCTGCTCCAGTGCACGGTCCCAGGGCTTGGATGGAACTGGGGCAGTGGAGGGACACTCTGCTCCAAAGGATTCCCTTCTCCCCCAGAGCCAGCACTGAGTTTCCTGCTGAAGACCTTTCCCCTGCATCTGTGGGGCTCCAGTCCCTGGGGAGGGGGTAGAGGCCAGCTATGCCCTTGCAGCTGCAGAGGAAGGGACTTCAGCTGGGAACTCAGTGCTGGCTATAAGGGGGGAGGAAATCCTCCCAGATCTTCCTGGAGCCACTCTAGTGCATTGTCCTGGGGCTCAGACAGAACT